TAAGAAGGGTCAGTTTTAGCCATTTTGTCAAACTTTGCAAATAATAATATGCTCAAGGTCATGCGATACTTCGAGAACTTTACATTAGTGATCTGAGCATGTGTTGATGAGTACAACATCAAACTTTAACTCAATACCTGTAAACATGACTAAGATCATTTTTGTTGGCTAAGGTACATCAGTTGGGACAGACATCTTTAATTGGGATAACTCAAATAATTAGTCAATCATAAATGTACATAAAATGATTCATTTCTCAAAATTGTATTAAAATCTGTCCAGAGATTTATGAGATTTTTGCTAACACAAAAGGCATAAGCAAGGAGAAAAAAAACATCATAGCCCACCACCTAMGGCAAAAAGTCAATATTGACTGATTCCAGAGTTTGATAATGACTAACTCTAACGTGAATACACAAAACAGATGAGTTGATAGGGTAGGAAGTGAAATAGCATTGCTCCTAAATCTTTGATTTAATCACATGTTGCCCAAAGTGCTGCTGAATATTTCCCTGGATTAACCAGTTGACAGGAAGGACCACAGATCCACCATATGTCTCTTTCAGCAGGGACTACATGAGCTCCTCTACAAATCTCTACACACATCCCTGTTTGCATTTTTAAAACTTATGGCAGCCAAACACATAGGCAGATGGATTAAAGAGGGYTCATATAGTTACATTAGGGATAAAAAATCCTCATTTAATTCCCAGGAACATCACTTAAAAGATGAGTTTCAGAGATTTCATCAAAGCTGTATTTGGGAAGACATGGGACAAAATTTGGTGTACTGTATGTTTTACTTTTGCAGAGTGTCTGAATATTTTTCATCTAAATTATTCAAATCGAGGATTGGGTAGGGGAAAGATAGGCTGTTTCAACAAAGACACAGTTTGATTTCAGTCTAAAAGTCAACAGCCAGAAGATACAGACATTATTACAGATTGACTGACAAGTTACAAAACATTGTCCGTGTACAATACAAATGTTTTGTTGTTTAAGACAGTGATTTCCAACCAGGGGTACTTGTTCCAACCAGGAGTACAAGTAGACAAAAGTATACAAAGGGGTACAAGTATACAAAACATTTGTATTGTTGTGTTATTTAAGACAGTGATTTCCAACCAGGGGTACAAGTACCCCATGGGATACGTGAGCTTATTACAATGGGTACGTGGAAAAAATTCCCAGGTGCATAAAAAAATTAATAAATATAGCAATGCGGAAATTACGAATGTGACACAAAATGGAATCCAGTATAAAATGCAGAATCTCACGGAATTTGCTAATTTGGGTGAGTTTCTGATTTATTGGTGCTGCTTCCTGCCATTACCTGGTTTATTTATTTAATTACTTATTCACTTTCAAGGCAACGTTTTTACCTAATTCTTTTATATTTCATTTGAAAATAATAAAATGCCTAAGAACTAAATGTTGTAGGGGGTTAAATAATTTTCTTTTAATCAGTTGTTGTACATTATATATTTGGAGAATCATCATTACATTTGACAGAGGAGGTACTAGTGGTATGACAAAATGGCTCAGGGGACACACAAGTCTAAAAAGGTTGGGAACCACTGGTTTAACACATGAAAAACTTTGACGTACAAACAAAAAATTTTGAGAACTAACTTAGAATAAATTAAAGGGGTATGTATAAGTTTTTGTGACAATACCAACAATATGACTATTATTACATAATATTTAGATCACAATCTAAATATCTAATATGATTTGTAGCTGTTTCCTTTGTTTTAAAACACTTGCATTTATTATTTTATTTGTGCTTATGTAGCTCATCTACTGAGACTGAAGCTGAGGAACTTCCACAGTGACCATATGCCTGGACATATGGCTAAAGAAGATTACATCAATTATTTCTTAGCAGGAAAGTGAACTAGTTAACCAGTGTTCTTTCTGTCTAGACTTCCCAAATGGTTTCAAAAATAAGACACGATTAAACCAAGCTATAAGGCTCACAATGGTAGAAAGAAACAATGCTTACTTTTTTCAGAAACAGAAAGCCAAACGAAACATACCACAGAAGAAGAAAAAAGATGAACTGTTTTCCACATATATTCATTATGCAGCAACTGGTTGTTTCAGTGCTTGTTAAAAGGTCCAAAAGCAACAATTATAATGATTTAAATTATTATATCCTGGCAGCTTTGGCAGCTAGAACCAGAGAAAGCTAAACATTCATTGCCCTGTAGGATTAACATCGACCTTCAGGGAAAAACATTGACAAAGCATGATTGTGCAGCCCTGTCTCCACACGACACCATTCACAGACTCCGCCACGAGAATCAGCCCTACAGATACGTAATATCTAACAGAGCTGTAAATCAGAAAAGACTTTACTACACCATAAAGGAAYCCTGCAAAAGAAGCAATCTCCATTACATGGAAGCCCCCTCTGGATGACTTTGTGCAGGGGTCACAGCAGCGACCAGGCCATGCTGCAGGGCCAACCGGCTAACAAGCAACTGAGTCCGTCTTCAGGCTGCCCCTGGATGTTAAAAGTAAAATAAATAAATAAAAAAATGGTGCATCCTGCAGGGACATAAGTTTTCAGAAATGAAGGGAGAATAGCTGAACCAAAAGAGGAGTGGAACCTTACATGTGACAGATGTTTCTCTCATACCATTTAACACATAATTGACTATGTTTAGCAATTCTTCTTGTGGTTAACCAATTTTTTTCAACCTATTTTTAACAATCTTTGAGTCACTGTTAATCTTCCCTCATTGTAAATCTGTTTGTTGTTTAAACCCGTGACCAAGTGGTTGCACAGGCCAAATGTCACCATTTTATTGAGATGCAAAGCTGGCTTACCTTTTCGCATGTTAACTGTTTTGGCTCTGTTTCTGCCTCACTTCACAGTGCAAAGGCACATCAGGCCTTAAATGTCATTTTTGAATTTTTAATTTTTTTTTTTTTTTTTTTTGGGGGGGGGGGGGTGCTAAAACATCCAAGAAACTTGTTTGTTGTTCATTTCAAATTGAGATCTTTTTTTTTTTTTCAGGCCACAAAGCAGGGCTTAAAAAGGAATGTGTGTCAGCACTGGGCGTGGTTGGTGTGTCTAAAAAAGTTGTGTGTCATGCCAAAAGGACGTGGCCCTGCATGCAGTCAGTGAGTAAGACAAAAATATTCGGATTGATGCGGTTTTTAGCTTTAATGCAAGACATTGTCATAACTTTAATAAGCACATTTCAAAACCCAGTCTTGACCAAGCCGTTTTAAACGCACAAAATAGAAATAGAAGTTGTGCTACATATGAAAACTGGCACAACTTGTAACACTGATTAATGTGTAAAGTTTAAATCAGACAAAGAGGCATTATTTACACTCACTTACACGTGCAAGTGTTGTAACATTTTCACTAAGATCRCACATCCTTATGTCTACTCATCTGCATGAGCTGACTGAACAGATAATATTAGAGCTGCTTCGATGTTGACAATCCCACAAAAGAAGTCTCCTTGACCTGGAATAATGGAGGATTCTGCCTCCTACACTTCTCACATTAAAAAAATAGAGCTTCCTTATGAAAAATAGCTGATGCTTCATAACATTCAACTTATTAAAAAAACAGAACCTAGATGAACATTATGACAAGGCCTTGTTCTGTCAGCTGGCAGGCAGGGACAAATAAACTAAGCAGTTGTACAGCGTGAAGGAGTTAAGTCCAAAAGCAGAACTAATAGAACTGAATTTAATATTGACATGCAGAGATAATTAAAGGAGGCATGACTGATTAAAAAAAATAACAATTAACATGTTATAAACCATGGTTGGCATTGTGACAGACCGAGCTTAAAAGTGGCAAAAMCCTGCCTCTATATGGAGCTGTCTAAATGTAAAAAAWWTTTTTTTGTTTTGTTTTGTTTACGATAAGACAATTCAAGGAAGAAGGCACATTATTAAAGGAATTACATCGATATTTATTTTGCCAACTAAATTACAATTTGCGCCACAAACTAAAAGACAGGGTCCATTTTTGAGCACAAGTCGGAACAAGTTTATTCACACCCCTGAGGCACTGTCTAGTCTGTAATTACACTGCGACAGTTAAGAAAAGAGGAAGATGAAAWGACTTGATCAGCAACAGGAACTTCTGATCAACGTGGATGTGTGTTTATAATAATTTACAATAGCCCCTCCTTTGTTCTTGTAAATGAAAACACCACAGGGGTGTAAGATTTGGCCACTGACTGAATGTGAAGTCATGACAAAGCTGGAGATCATCTGGAGCTTTCAGAATGATGCAGGATTGATTACTGGGCTGGATGTGCATCAGGGAGAGGACAGGGCCAAACCAAAGCATCAGCTGCAATGTGTGTCAGTGTAACACTGCCAGATGTTATGTTTGTCTGTGAAATTTAAGAGGAAGAAAAGGACAGAGGCATGAAAACACAGGGGATCCCCCTGTTTGTGAAGGCAGATCAGCATCAAACTGTGTGATGAGAACGTAAAACATCAACATGTAAACACCTGTGTAGTTTATGAGATAAACCCCTTTGAACTCACCACGAGGCAAAAAAAATCTATTATTAAAAATGTGCAGCCCCTTCAGCCGCATCTATCATTTTTTGTTTTACATTATGCACTGCCTAGCAACGCTCTGTTGCTAGGGTTGCTCTGCCACAGTTGTCCGTGCTTCTGTTGATGGCAGCGGGGTGGTTGTAGCCGCCCGCCCGCCCGCAGACCCACGGCTCGGGCTGTACACTGATGCGGCAGGCGACAGGGTTTGSCTGCTAAAACTTTTGTAGTGTGGAGTTGATGCGCTGCGCTGTTCGTGGGCAAAACGGTGGGAATTTCCGAACAAGTGTCAAGTTCAGRAGCTTAAAGTCTATTAAACATAAAGCTGTTATAAAATATTCACAGCCGACGGCTGAGACTGGCGTCCAAACAAACACCGGTTAGCTACTTAAGCCTAGCTCGGCACAGCCGAATTAGCACCAGCTAAYGCCAACATACATATGTTAAGCAACACTTACTTTTATGTTTGCCAGAACCCCATGACTGTTTCGCGATACTGGGGCTCCGAATAATTGCCCTTCCAGCGGATTTCAAAGCGTCCATATCTCCAAAAAGTGGGGCGAGGAGCCCGACGATCGCCGTCCGTCCGTCTCCCTGTCGAGTCCTTTCTCTTGATTTTAAAGAGCACTTTTCCGGCAAAACTTTTCTATTCGTCTATTTTCCTTTCCTCTTCGCTCAGAGAGGGTTCACTCGGCGGTGGATTATCATGTTCGTCCCCTGGGCGGTGTTTTGTATGTAAATTAGCCGGATAACGTGCGKTGTTACGCCCCGTTTGTGGTGTCACGCGAGCGGTTGTAGCGACAACGCCTGGTCGCGGAAGCGGCGAGAGCGGCAGAAGCGGCAGCGCCAGAGTCGTGGAAGCGGCAACCATTGTCTGGTCGCGGTGGCCGCAGCAGCGGAAGCGACATGTCGCTCCAGCGATAGGCGGTGTGGTATATATATATATA